TGCGGGGTCCAAGGGGCTGCGCCCCCTTGCGGGGTCCAAGGGGCAGCGCCCCTGGCGGGGGTCTCGCTGCCCGGTCAGCGAGCGGGGTCGAGGGAGGCCGCCCTCGCGGGGCTCGGGGCAGCGCCCCGGACCAAAATTTTATTTTATTAAAGAAATAAATATGGAAATTTATTTTCGGATAAACATGTCCATATTAATTATTTAATAGAATGACTTTCTGTTAGAGTAAAACTCTAACTGATTGGCCTTATCTCTTTGGTAATCAGAAGAATTCGAGTTCTACTAAAACTGCTAGTTCGTGGTCTATATATTGGTGCCTCAGTTTTAGACTGTCTCTTAGAGTGATTATCCCCATAATCTAAATTTCGTGTAACCCAGACATAGGGTCGAAATATTAGATTCGGAAAGTGATCACACGATACTCTGAGAAATCCGCCAGATTTTCTAAAACAGTTTCCCAACTCCCCAGTGTTAACAAAAATATGTTCTTATCCTTTGTCTTTTTCGACCAACAGTGTTTGTTCTTTTCCAAACGAAGGTGTAAAATCGAATGTGAGGAAGAACATTGTGTATTGCACGTAATTCGATTTTCTTCAACCCTAATTTCACTAAAGTTTTTCTTTCTTAAGTAATTCAAATAATTGATCTTGATTGGCCACATTGTACACAAAACTAGTTAATTCACTACTTAATTTGCTATAACTCGAATTAATAGTTAGATAAATAGTTAATTAGTTTTTTACAATTTTTTATTAATTGCTACATTTGACTCTAGTTTAAAAAATATGTTGTACACAAAACTAGTTAATTCACTACTTAATTTGCTATAACTCGATTTAATAGTTACATAAATAGTTAATTAGTTTTTTACAATTTTTTATTAATCACTACATTTTTTAGATGGATCGTCCTAGATATTCGGTTGATATGGGTAACCTCGAGCGCAACCGAACGAAAGAGCTTGCGAGGAAGAGATCCCGCAAAGGTAAATCACATATCGGCTCTTCATCTCAAAGTCGAGATGATTTTGATACGGGTTACGTAAGGAGGGATGGGGATGCGATGACTGACGAACAACTAGAACAAGAATTGCACCGACATAATTCCCGCTTTTTTCAAGACCAACCGAGGACCATTGACGAAGAAGAGCTCGAGGACGAGGACGACGATGTGGAGGAAGCAATTCCGGAGAGCCACGACGAGGAGGAGGAGGAGGGTGGCGGCAGCCATGACGCCGACCAACCAGCCTCATCCCAAACAGGTACAAAAAAAAGTAGATCTGAATTAATGGCTAATAATTTTTCTAAGTGGAAGGACCCGAACACCGGGAATTGGACCGCAACTTGCAATTGGTGTAAGAAAAACTATAGCTTGGGGATTTCCGGCGGATACGGATCCGCCACAAGACACCTTAAGTCCAAACACCCGGTGGAGTATGCAAAATTAGGCGGCGGAACGGGGAAGCAAACGCAAATATCGAGGTTTGCAAATAACCAACAAGCTTTTGGTAATTTCTCATACAATGATGCACAAAATTTGACAGGTATGGCTAACTTACTTGTTGAAGAAAATTTGCCTTATTTGTTTTCTGAAAGTCTTGCTTTTCGTGATTATGCACAAACTTGTTTAAATCCGCAATATAGAGGTTATAGTCGCAAAACGGTTAAGAAAGAAATTTCAAGGCTTTATGGTGCGGAAAAGGTAAGGTTACAAAATTATTTTGCAAACTTTGATGGACGTGTTACTGTATGTTCTGACATATGGGAGGATACTTATCATAATTTACATTATTTGGGTCTGACTGTACATTATATTGATAATGATTGGCATATGCATAAACGTGTTCTTGCTTTCCGTGAATTTAATGATCGTCACACCGCTGAACATATTTATATTTTGATTGAACGTATTTTAATTGAGTATAATTTAATTGATAAGGTGTTTGCTATTGGTTTTGATAATGCTACTAATAATATTGCTGCTATTCCTAGATTGCGTGAATTGTGTGGTTCTACTTCTTTGATGGGTAGATTTTTTCATCAACGATGTGCATGTCATGTTCTAAATTTATGTGTGCAAGATGGTCTAAAAGCGTTGGGAGCATCGTTGGAGGTAGTCAAGGGGGGGATTAGACGTATTTGGGGTAATGGACAACTTAGGAAAAAATGGCATGATTATTTGATAGAAAGATGTGAGAGATATGTGGCTTTTCCAAAAGATTTGTCTATTCGTTGGAATAGTACCTATAAGTTAATTGGAGTTCTTCTTAGATATAAACAACATTTTTCTGCTTTTATGAAACAATATGATAATTATATTATAAACTCGGCTGAGATCGACACCTGTGAAAAAATTTGTAATGCTTTGATATATTTTAATAATGCAACTGAAACTTTTAGTCATGTTTATAAACCTACCTCAAACCTATTTATTCGTGAAGCTGTTAATCTCGCCAGTGCTTTTTCAAATTTTAAGAATGCTGATTATGTGAGTTATTTTGCTGGTTTTATGAAGGAAAAGTTTTTAAAATATTATTCACATATTCCGCATATTTATGGTATTGCATTTGATCTCGATCCTCCTTTTACACTTGGTTCTTTAGAAGAATGTTTGAATTATTATTATGCTGCTTTTTTTGGTCCATTGTCAATGTATGAGGACAACCCAATTGATCCGAAAAAAGAATACAACGAGGTTAGTGATATATTTTATGCATTATTCAATGAGTTTCATGCACAATATGGCAATGCGCCCCCTCCCCCGACACAAACATCATCTAAAGGAAAATCAATTTTCAAATCTACGTTTGCCAATCTTATTAAAAAAACGAAATCAACTCCCGCTACACAACAAAGCACAATTAATGAGATTTCTTTGTATTTAACTTATGATGTTGATTTTGAAGAAGATCATGATTTTGACGTACTAAACTGGTGGAAGGGAAAAGAAAGAATGTTCCCAGTTTTAGCAAAGATGGCTAAGCAAGTGCTATCAATGCCGATTTCAACGGTTGCCGTGGAACAAGAATTTAGTTCGACCGGCAATGTTCTAACACAAACCAGAACGAGGTTGAGCGCTAAATCTCTTGAGATGCTTATATGCTACCACGATTGGTTGAAAGCAGCACGTAGAGCTCAAGAAATTGACATCACTCCATCCCAACACTTTATGGATGAATCTACAACAGAGTAGGGGTGGACTCGGGTCCGGGCCGGGTCCGGGTCGGGCCTAGGCCCGGGCGGGCGGGCGGTTCAAAATGGTGGACCCGGGACCGGCCCGGGTAGCCACCGGGTTCGGTCCAGGCCTCCGGTTTGGATTTTTTTTTTTTGCTTTCCTAGCCCCCCCCCCCCCCCTACCCCCCACCCTCCCAAACCCCCCCCCCCCCCCAAACCCATCCTACCCATCAAGCCCAACCCGGGTGGAAGCCCAAAAATGAAAAAAAATGAAAAAAAATCAATTTGGCCCGGGCCCGGGCCCGACTCGGCCGGGCCGGTTCACCAAAATTCAGACCCGAGCCCAGACCCGCCCTCCCCCCCGGGCCTAGGCCCGACCCGGACCCAAGAACCGGGCCGGTCCCGGTCCCGCACAGTAGCGGGCCAGGCCGGTCCACGGGCCGGGCCGGGTGGCCCGACCCGAGTCCAAGCCTACAACAGAGGGTGGCTCTACCTATGCCGAAGATTCCGATTAAAAACAATTATAGTTCCTATTTAATTTTCAAATGTAGTTCCTATTTCATTTCAAATAAATGCACTTGAAGTTTGTTTTTTAATACTTGTATAAAACTATAAAGTATAAAATATAAATTAAAAAAAAATATTTAACCGGCCCGGCCCGACCCGGCCCGGCCCGGCCCAGCGGGTGGCCCGACCCGTGACCCGGGCGGGTGGCCCAGCCCGAACCGGACCCGTCCAACCCTCGGGCCAGTCCCGGGCCCATGTGATACGAACCTGCGGCCCGAATCCATCCCTAGTTTATACATTTATCCTCTTAGTTATATTTGTTTTTCAATCCATTACCTATGTATGAAGATAAGCCTGTAAATCCTCAAGAGTCAAGAGCAATACAACGAGGTTTGTAACTTATTTTATCAGTTATTTAATGATTTTCATGAAAATTATGGTAAGTCTCCTCCCATGAAATCAACTGCTTTTTCATCTAAAAAAATCAATTTTCATATCTAGATTTGATAATCTTATGAAAAAAAACTAAATCAACTTTTGTTGCTGCACAAAGCTCGAATTACGAGCTTTCTTTATATCTAATGTTTCCTTGTGAGTATGAAGAAGGAGAAGACTACAAAATTCTCAAATGGTGGAACGAGAAAGAAGGAATGTTCTCGATTTTTTCAAAGATGGCAAAGCAAGGATTTAGCGTCCTAACAAGAATTTAGCAAAGCCAACCAACGCTATGGCAAAGTGTCAGCCATAGCCGTGAAACAAGAATTTAACAAAGCCATTAGCCCATTACTGCCTAACAGATTGTAGAACGAAATTGAGCGTACACTTCATGGAGGTTTAAACTTTACATTATTTGATATTCCGACAACCGACGCTAGTAGAAGTAGAGATTCCGACAATTAGCAAATGTATTTGATATTTTAAATTATTCTCTATCCGCAATTGTACTCCATATTTCAAATAAATATACATTTTATTTTTAATATCTCACACTTGTTTAATAAATTAGAAAATTTAAAAAAAAAATACCCAGACCCGACCCCAGGCCAACCCAAGTCCCAACCAAGTGCCCGACTGGCGGACTGGGTACCCAAACCGGAACCGAAGCAAACCTGGTCAATACCGGACTTCAATTATTTAGGACCGGGACCGCTCAGGCCTGAACCAGATTGACTCGGCTTCACCCCTAACTTAACTTATTTTCATCATTAAAAGATTACCCTCTCCACCCCGTAAAGGTTTCCCAAATTGATTGTTGATCAATGTTAATAACTTTGACCAATAATATTTTTTAATACAAAATTATTTTGAATAAAAAAAATTATATTAAAATGTTCGTTATTCAAAATATTTTCAAAAAAGTATAAAATGTGTAAATTATATACAAATATATTTGTAACAATACTTTGATGTAACTATTAATGTATACAAATACTCATATTTTTACTACATTTTATTCTGTGCATCGCACATGTGAGAATCTTGTATAATTGAATACCACATATACATCCATAATTCCTCTCTCCTGTACAAAAAAGAATCCACAAGAAATGAAACGAAATCAATCAAAAGGAAAGGTAAGAAAGCAAGAGAGCCCAAACCTACAGGACATTCATACCTCTGACTTTGCACCTTTAATGCAAATAACACATCAAAAGAACAAATGAAATAGGCAAGCAACAAATAAAAGAACTGAAGGAGGGGGGGGGGGGGGGGGGGGGGGGGGGGGTGATTGTTGGGTTTTCGGAATAGGAGTCTCCTACATAATTTTAGTTTCCAATTTGGCCCTTCTTCAAATACAGACTACGTATTCAACCGGTTACCTGCATGCTGCATTTTGGACATTCACATTCTTTGGAAAATTTGGTCATGAAGCAGTACCAGCCAGAACAAAATGAATTACAAAACCCAAAGCAATTATAACAATCCCTGAAGATGGTGCGCGCGTAATCATAGATAGATTGACGGCTAATACAATAGTTCAATTGGAGAGCTGTAGTTGACCAGAATTAAGGATAGAAAACAGAAATATATATGATGAAAAAAGTGATGGCAATCCGAAGCCCAACCACCGCTTAATTATCACCAGAGCTCATCAAGCCTTTATACGAACCACAAATGAGCCTGTGTGAAGATATATATACAATATAAATATATCAAAAAAATGCATGACAGGAACTCTGTAATGCATGCTACAATATAATATTATGGAAGAGAAAACTGTCAAATATGCCCTCTTACTATCGTCTAAAAGTCAATTCAACCCTCGCACTATCAAAACACCCAATCCAATCCCCCAACTATAAAAATACACTCAATCCTGCTTTTTAACCGGTTAGGAATCGGTAACCATGGTAGTTGATGACGTGACTGTTTATGTGAATTATTGTTTTTATTTATTTGAAATGTTTTATGACATTTCAGCAACATCCGGATGAAAAAAATATGGGCACAAGTTGTAAAAATCGGCCTAAGCGCCCCAGTTTTACTCTAATCGGTGGGAAAAATCGTTTCGGGACCTAGGAAGGCTAGGCGGCCAGGCGGGCGCCTAACCTTGGCGGCCTGGACTAAAAATTTTCCCGAACCAACTTTTTTTCCCGTTTTATCTTAAAACATAGTGTGATCAAGAAGTATTCTATTCCTATATAATTTATTTTCATATTCTCACAATAAAAAAATAATTTTGAAATAAAAATAAACTTTTTAGAATGTATTTTAAGATTTTAAGAGAGTAAAAAATACATCATTTTCGTTTTCATTTACCCCAGTGCCGCAAAGGCTCCCACCTACGGTGGGGTAAGGGGGGTCGGATGTACGCAGTCTTACCCCTGTACTAAAGCACAGAGAGACGGTTTCCGGATGACCCATAGTGAAAATCGTGTCCAAAATTGCATGGACTGACTACTGTTCCATAACAAAGAAGCGCAGACAATTTAGTGAGCCATTTTGCTTTATTCCATCATAATCTCAAGCCAAAAAAATGAATCTTTGGCTCCATTGCAAATGATGGAAAAGAGTAAAAAACACAAATATCTTAATTTATTTATTATTGATGATTCTACTATAAAAAAACTTAACATCTAATGATTATATGAGCTATTTCTATTTTCAAAATATTATAAAATTATTAGTAATATAATTAAAATTCAAAGGAAATAAAAATAAAACAAAAACTAATGGAAAAATACCTAGGCGCCCTAGTCAGCGCCTAGGCGGGCTAGGCGCTAGGCGGCCAGTCACCGCCCGACTAGCGCCTTTTAGAACACTGGGCACAACCCTTCTTCAACACCCGGTATTTTCAAGTTAAATTAATTCCGGGAGAAAAGCTCGAATCGTAAAGTAACTTCCACACATCTTCTCCACAGTATAAGTAAATCACTTACGGATGATTATACATATGTTTTCATTCCCAGTCTTCTTCTGGTTCCTTCTCTGGGTTGGGGAACACCAAGTCACGAAAAGAAACCAAATTCCTCCGGCGGCGACGAGACTCCATTGAAGCATGGTCAAAATCCTCTGAAAATGAATCTGCCCCGCATTTAATATTTGGTGCATCCAATTGCGGTGAAGGTGAAATAAAATCTGGGCTCTCATTCTCCAATGGAACCTTCTTTTCCCCAATTTGCTATTCCTTCTCTTGATTATCAGCAGGCTAAGATACAATGAAGCAATCTGGAGTAGGAGTGGGATTTGAAGGTTTAGGGTTTGTGGTAGGGAAAGCTTTGAGCTTCTAAAATAATTCCTGCTTGAGTATAGGCAAAACCAGAAAAGTTCATTGCATGCAGCAACCTGTTCGAGAATAGAGATCTTCGGATGATGGTTGCTCTGTCATCGGGGTTGTATAAAAAGAAGGGGAAATCTTCTAGAGAAGAATCTGCAAGCTTTTTCACTGCCAGCTCTGATGAGAGGTGAAGGGAGAGAGACGGAGGGGGTCAAGAGACCGACCCAAGTCCAAAACTGAGTATAGTAAATCTAGAAAGCTTCATGGAAGAAGATGAAGGCAGGTGACAATCGAAGCAAACGAGGAGCTCACCAGTACTTGTGTTTGAAGTTCTATGATGGTGAGGATATATATGAGTCAAATGCTTCCCCACAAAACAGTAACATGGGTTTGCTGATGTGTCCCAAAAAAGAAAAAGTGAAATACCCGTTGACTGCCACATCAACGACTACCTGGCTAACTAGTAGTTCACCGGCTAAAAAACTGGATTGAATGTTTTGTAATAGCTAGAGGGTTTGATCGAGTTATTTGATAGTACGGGGGGCTTAATTGGCATTTTGGTTATAGTACGAGGGCTTATTTGACAGTTTTCCCTATTATGGAAAGATAAAAAGAGCAATCAAGTAGAACAATGAGGAGTAATAGCTGATTGATTTGCTTGATTGAGTTTATTATGATTTGATTTTAGTACCTTCATTATTTAATCTATTTTAGGAAGTGATTTTATAGGATTTCCCTTTCCTTGTTTTCTGCATTCACATGCATGTAATCCTCCTTAAAAAAGGGAGTTTTGCTATTCTAATAAAATATCAATGAAAAATTAAGAAGAAACCAAGGAGAAGGGAAGGCTCCCCAAATTTCCAGCCCCTATCTATTTATCATTTGTATTTCTTTCCCGTGACGCAAAGAATCATGGTACATAACATTTTGGTTCCGTTGTCGGCGTCATGGGAAATTTCACACTTCCTACTGATCAATACACACTCCTCTCAGACATACAGGAGTTACACAAACTGATAAGCGAAGGGCATCTTCGCAAACAGCAAAATACAGTGCAAAAGGTGCAACAAGCACTGTCACCATTAAAGGAGTGGCTTCAGAAACTTTCTAACCATATTGCCAACCTTTCTGAATCAGTGGACTCCTTGGGAGGAGATGAACCGCCCCCATCACTAAACACTTCATCTGCAGAATTCTGCCTCAACCTCCGTCAGCATTGCTTCCAACATAGCACCTTCTAGAGCCAACGTTGTTTGCAACACCCATATTGCAGACTGCCCTACCCGATAAACTACCCAAAACAATCTTCTTGGACTTCCCCGATCCATTTTGGTCCACTAAGCTTGTCCCAGTTTGCCATTGTATTCCAATGGAATGTTCACTAGACGATGATCACCTTAGCCCATGCTTGTCACGGCATCGTCCAAGCGTTGTCTAGGCACTATATTGGCGACGAAGTCCTCACCTTTTTTGTAAGTTGAACCGCAGTGTTGGAAGAGTACTCTCATTCCCCTATTTAAAAATAAGGGTGATGTACAAGAATATGCCAACTATCGAGGGATTAAGCTTATGAGTCACACCATGAAACTTTAGGAGCGAGTGATTGAGCAAAGACTTCAAAAAAATGTGAAAATTTCGGAGAATCGGTTTGGTTTTATGCCTGAATGCTCAACAACTGAGACCATTCACCTTCTTAGACAAGTTGTGGAGAATTATAGAAACACTAAAAAGGATTTGCATTTGGTGTTCATTGACTTAGAAAAGGCATATGATAGGGTACCTCGAGAAGTCTTTTGGTGGGCCTTAACTAGAAAAGGCATATCGCGTAAGTATATCAGTATCATCATGGATACATATGAGGCTTGTACTACAAGTGTCCGTACTAATGTAGGGAGGACCGCTAAGTTCCCTATTACTATCAAAGTGCACCAAGGATCGGCTCTGAGTCCTTTCTTATTTGTTATAGTCATGGATGAACTTACGAAGTCAGTTACGAAGCAGTTGTCTTTGGTGTTCATTTCAAATCTATGAATTAGGCAAAATGGAGCACTTTTGTTTGTGAAAAATCTTTTTTGGATTTTGGCAGTGAAAAACCACCATTCTAATAGTGATTCAATAATGCTCCCATATTGATCCGGTTCTATACAGTGAGTTTACATGTTTTATATTACCAAATTAGTATTATTATCATATTTATATACACTATATAGCAGCAACGTTTTATAATAATAATCTTGCAGTTTTTGTTTTAACAGGACAATATTAGCTTGAAAAATGTCAAATATATCATGCCAATTTTTTGCTAGGATGGCAGTATTATCTTCATATTTGGTAGCATGTATTTTATGAGGTTTGCCACCGCAAATGTTTCCGTCGATTGTTCCGGGTGAAAATATCATATGCCCTCCACGGTTTCCGCTCGGTGAACAACCACCACGCCGCTGTCGTCACTGCGGTCTACTGCCCCTACCCCATTCCCTACTCCCCCACAGCTCCCCAACCCCCCTCCTCAGCCGCAACCTACCCCAACGCCGTCCAGCGGTCCAGCCCAGCCCTCACCACCACCTAACAGCGCCGCCCCTGTCAACTGTCTCCAATTGCACCGCCACCCAGCCCTAGCCCCATCCAAACCCGTAACCATTGCCTGATCTCAACCCTAGACGCTGGTGAGTGAGCCGACTAGATTTGTCCCCGTCATCGTCGGAATCGGACAAGTGATGTACACAGTCAGGTAGACGAAGAGGTGAAGAAGAAGAAGAGAGATGTAGAAGATGGCGAAGAGCGACAAGCAGCGGCAATAATAACGCGGCAGCAATGCTAGCAGGTGGAGGCATCGCAGAAGATGAAGAAAGGAGAAGAAAGATTATAACAGATGCGCCGAGTTGTGGCTTTCTTCAACAGTGCTGCAAGGAGGAGTCACGCTGGGAGAAGAAGAAGAAGAAGGCGATCGGGATTTGAGAGCATAGGAGGACCATTATCGGTGATTGGGAGCAGAGAGCGCAAGGCCAGACGATTGGGATTTGTGAAAGGAAACAGATGGGTTTTTTATTTTTAAGCTCACTTTTTTTCCAATTAAAATTTAGTCAATTTTTTGTCCATCTAAAGTCCATAAGTAATATTTGTGTCATTCTTTCGTATTTTGTTTCAGGATATGAGAGTACTTACTTTTCCGGCAGTGGTCACCAGAATGTAGTGGCTACAGTGCAATGGTGGTCAAATTTTAGGACAATAGCATTTCATCTGGATGACAATATTTTACTGAACTGCGGTACTGGTTGCATTGCGGGATGGATGAAACTATTTTATCTGGATGACGGTATTTTTCTTGTGGTGACTACCAAATAAGTGGCCAGAGCTGGCGGGTGGTGGCTGGAGTATGGAATATTTCAACGATGGGGACCATAATTTCATAGTTGCGGCCAAGTTGTTTATTTTGTGTATTAAGAAAATAAGTGCCACACAAGTAAGGGGTAATGCTGTCCATTCTTTTCCAATTCACTCCTATAATAAAGGAGTTAAAGCACATTACTCTTTTTTGTGAATTATGCCTATGTTTTACTCCTATTAGGAGAAATTTCCTGAGCAAGAATTTATGTATCTATCATAGCAAATATTTTTTCCATCATTTGCAATGGAGCCAAAGATTCACTATTTTTTGGCTTGGGAATACGATGGAATAAAACAAAATGGCTCACTAAACTGTCTGCGCTTCTTTGTTATGAAGCAACAGTCAGTCCATGCAATTTTCGACGCGATTTTCACCATGGTTCATCTGGAAACAACCTGTTTGTGCTTTAGTATAGGGGTAAAGTTGCGTGCATCCGACCCCCCCTTACCCCATTGTTGGTGGGAGCCTTTGCGGCACTGGGGTAATGATGATGATCATGATGATGATGATCATAGTGAATAATTTATGACCATAGAGTATATAAGATGAGAGTACTTTAATATTATGTATTCATGTTTCATATAGATATTTATATGTTTACATTTCGTTCATGGTGAGTATAACAAGACTTGGCTGAAGTTATTTGATAAAAAAAGTGGTGATTGACTATTTAATAAAAACAAGTTGTAAAATAAAATTAGAAAACAAATAAGATGTTGTTTGGTGAAATAATAGTAATATATGAAAATGTGGAGTATAATTTTATATCTGAATGCGGGTCAGACAGAGGTAAACAAGATGTATTCTTCTACTCCCTACATCCCAAAAGAGAAAAAAATCATTTTCCTGGTCCAAAAGCATTTTGTGTGTCCCACATTAAATTCTTGTTTTATACTACCTTCGTCCCACTAACATTAGGAGGTGATGCAATTATTAAGAAAAGTGGGTTTATGTGGTTGATATTTAATGGATAGAGTAAGAATAAAGTGAGAATGATTTAAAATTACACACACTTCACCAAATTTGGTATGAGAAGATCTTGGTGAAACGGACCGAAAAAGGAAGATGAGGCAATCTTAGCGGGACAGAGGGAGTACTACGTAAAACATAGCAAACTTTGTTCATGAAATTGACAATAAAACTTACAAATAACTTAATATCATAATTTCATAAACAGGTGTAGTTAAATCACAAAATAAATTTTAAAAACTTGGGTATATTCCATAACTTTTAAGAGATGTATCGTGCCAAAATTAAAAATAAGCAACATTTTGAATGTTTCTTCATTCAAGGATAAATATGAGATACTAAAAACTAAGCAATAGAAGACACGACTTACACGCAGGCAGGTTAGATATATCTGCAGATACTGCACATGGAATTCCAAGGTTTGAAAGTGCTCCCCTGATGATTCCACAAGGAAAATAAAGGTGCATTCCTATTGCTTGTGCAGTTTTCTTATCAGCCATGGCAGATGGATCTTGAATAGATCCAGAGGTTTCAAGTGATGGATCCATAGGCATCTGAGACAGCCAACGAAACCTATTGTCTTGCAACACAAAGGTACCCTGGGAAAGATAACGGATAACCAAGATTTAGCTCAAAACAGCTTAATACTCCGTTTGTGTAGTCTTATTCGGCTTATCAACAGAATAAGTATCTTTTCACTTACTTATTTGTCTTAAATGGATGTAAATACTTCCGTAACAGCAGATTTAAGCTGATTCAGCCAAATAAAACTTACCAAACGGGCCCTATAGAACAGGTTTAAGTGATTTTCAAACTCACCCTATGGTTTGTCTTTAGGTTGTCTATTTGTTTCTTAAAGAGCTCAGACCAGAAGTCCTTGCAGATGAACTTGATAGCTTCCAAATGGTCACTGAACCGAGGTCGTTCCATCGTGTATCTACAAGTGGGTAATAGTACAAGAACATCTTCATAATTCAGAGACGCATGAGGCTGAAGGATATGAACTAATATAGTAATATGATGCAATAAATCACTTAGGTAGTGTTTAACGAATGGGCTCAGGTCATAGCCCATAAGCCCTTGCTTGGTTACCAGGAATGAGACCTTCTCTAAGACAAAGGTGAGGTTTTTATTAAGAAATAAGGGAAAACTGTCAAATAGGTCCGTGTACTTTTAACAAAAAGTCAATTGAGCCCACATACTTTTAAATGAATCGAGCAAGTCCACGAACTGTCAAAAAACAACCAAAATCGGCTATTACATAGGTAATCAACCGGTTTGCAGTCTGACCGCTTACGTGGATCATCCCATTGGATATTTTATTGTTTACAATTTTTTATACGTTTTCTTTTCTTTTCCGTTTTCTTTTTTTTTCTCTTTCTTTCTTTCTACCCCTTTTCTCTTTCTTCTTTTTCCGTGTCTGGCTTCTTTCCCATTCCAGATATCCATCGCCCACGCCCAACCTGCATCACCCACGCCCAACCTGCATCACCCCCCTCTTCTCCCCGCATTTCCGTTTCTCTTTCTTTCTTCTATCGCTTGAAATCTAAATCATAATTTATACTTAGTATTACTTTATTTTACTTTGACTTTTTCCGTTCTCTTGTCTCTTCAATCAAATACTATAGCTATATATATAGAGAGAGAAAAGATCAGGTGAGAAGTCCCTCTTAAAATGAGAAGTGAGAAGCAATCTCAGCCCTTGGATTTGCATCTAATCTTAAAACACAGTAAACTTATAGACTGAATATAGGAACTTATAACCAATAAATCATAACTTATAAAGCTCTCCAACATAATTACGAAAATGCCACCGCGTCCAAAAAATTTCAAGGTTTCCAGGCTTATTTTTTGGCGGTGGCATTTTCGTAATTATTTTAGATGAGGTTTATAAGTTATGATTTATTGGTTAAAAGTTCGTGTTTTTAGTCTATTAGTTAAATTTCGCAGTTCTCAGCCTAAGAGCACTTCTCACCTGATCTGCTCCCTATATATATATATATATATATATATATATATATATATATATATATATATATATATTATAGGTCAATGACCATGTGAGGGAAGTAAGGTAGGCCTACAAGTTACAATTTTAGGCCTCTTTCATTTTAGGTTTTTTGGGGTCGAATTTTTTGATGGAATTTTGTGAGCATGCTTTCCAGGAAGTGTAGATTATGTCCGTCAAATTTTAGCTTAAAATTTAACCGGGGAGTCGGTTAAATAAATTATTGAAAAAAACTGCAATTTATATATATATATATATATATATATATATATATATATAAAGCTGCGCAATTTACAATAATTTTTAAATGACTTCCCAAATGAATTTTAAGATAAAATTTGATGGACATAATAATCTACACTTCATGGACAACATACTCACAAAATTAAAAAATTCGATCTGGAATCACTTCAAACGAAAGAGGCCTAAAATTGCAAATTTAAGGCCTACCTTACATGATCATTGCCCTATAAACACACACACATATATACTCAGTCAATACACCATTCTTGTGATCTAAAGGTTCTACGAGTTGAATTCCTTGCAAACAGTATATCACACCAACCATATCAAGAAAGAAAATATAAAGAAGAGCATGTCCAAAGACACAAGAACCGGAAAAGGTTTAGGAAAATTATAGGGATGAGTTTATACTATTAATGTGTTGAATACCATCTTCGAACAATAGATTAGAGCCTAGGTCTTGTGCACCCGCTGGAACTTGGGTATGGGCTTTTGGATCTGAACTTACCCCAAACCAAAAATGGCTGCTCGAGCACCCAGCTTCCTCTTCGTCCAGTGACGTTTTAGCAGCGTCCAAGCCTCTGCAACAATTGCCCAATCTCGTTGTCTCCCTCTCGCTCCCGGCTTCGACTTCACCCAGAGACATTCAAGCTACTACATTTAGCCCGCGATCGGCATCAAAAGCCCCAATTTTGAATTTCCTTGAAGAATAAAGAAGGGTGGAAGAAGAAAGAAGAAAGAATGAGGGGATAACAAGTTTACAGGAAACGGGTGGGCGGAAGAAGAAAGTAAGAGAAGGAAATGAGGGAGAAGGAGGAGTTGGTGGCAGGTTGGACGATGGAAGCCTCGAACGGGAAAGGAGAAGGAAAAAGAGGAAAGAAAGAGAAGACAGCTTGGACCTACTTTTGTATTCCCAGCAAACTAAAGTTAACATTAAAATTCCAGAAGCCTTGATATAATCTCTGATTGTAACCAGCAAGCCTTATTTGCAATCATTCTTATTGTCTCAAAATTACAAGCCTTAATGTTTTAACCATGTGACTAACTGATATATTTTACTTTTTGAAGTCCAAAACACATTAAATTGATAAAAACAAACTTTACACTATAAATCTTAGTTGACAAAGTAAACTTTAAGCTCCTGGACACATTATATCAGTAACCATTAAATGTTTATTTTGTTTTTCTTGTGATTGATTTTGGTGTTCAATATGCTTGTTTTATGACTTGTGGTATTTATATGATTTTACCATTATTTTTGGATAGCAAATCTATACAAGTTGTATAAGTATCAACGTAGTCAAAGTCGCAAGGCACACTCGAGGCGCTAAAGTACTCATATCGCCTGAGGTGCAAGGTGCAAAAAGGCACTTGCCAGACTCATGTCCAGCGCGCTGTATAGAAAATAGAAAATATTAGGGAGAACTATCAAATAAGCCCTCGAACTTTCATAAAAAGTGCAAATAAGCCCTTTTATAGGAGACTCTGCCCGGCCGTCGCCATTTGGGGCGGTTTCCGGTGGATTTCTTTGATGAAATTTTTTGAGAATCTTTTTCATTGAGTCTAGTTTACTCATACCAAATTTCAGCTAAAAATTCAATCTGTAAGGCAGTCAAATGAAGTTTTGAAGATAACTGCGTAGTTAGGCAGCGCAATATATTTCAGAAAATCATTTGACTGCCTTCTCGATTGAATTTTTAGGTGAAATTTAGTTTGGTTAAACTAGACTTAATGAAGAAGATTCTCAAAAAAATTGATTAAAATATTCCACCGGAAACCGCCCCAAATGGAGACAACCGGACAAAGCCTTCTGTAAAAGGGCTTATTTGCACTTTTTATGTATACATATTCTAGAATTACCAAATACTCCCTCCGTCCCATTTGACTTTGTCAATTTTCCCTTTTAGGATGTCCCAAAAAACTTTGACACTTTCCTCTTAAAGCAACTAATTTGTGGTTCTGCACATTTCTCTCTCCTCTGCACAAATCTTAACCACACAATTTTTACTATTCTTATTTCTCACCTACTTTGCACTTGGCAAAGTCCATTGGGACGGAGGTAGTATGATTAACAACATATTGAACTAAATGCATTAAAAAAGTCATACTCACAAAAGTTATATACTTTTGTATATTCAACACTAGAATGCTGAGGAAATTCTCAGATTCCTTAAGGGATTACAATTCAACGTAAGAAATTAGCACAGAAGACAGAGAAAGATATGATTGAGACACTTATAGTAGTCTTTGCACTCCCAAGTCCCAGTCCCTGCCTAACTTCTGATTTTTTCCCTCCCTTCTATTTATATGACCCGTACAATTACTACTACTACTACTAGTATTATTATTATTATTGTTGTTATTATTATTATTATTATTATTATTAACTTGAGCCTATGTTCCTATCATATCTCCCCCCTTAGACAACCACTTTGTCCTCAAGGTGGGTGATAGGAATCAGTAGGGGTGGGCATTTCGGTTTCCAGTTCGGTTTTCTTCGGTTTCGGTTCGGTTTCGGTTTAATCGGTTTGATAGAAAATGTATCAAATACAAACCGATTAAGTTTCGGTTTGGTTTCGGTTTGGTATGGTTCGGTTCGGTTTGGAGTTCGGTTTACCAAAGTATTAAGGTTTGGATTGAAATAAAAAAAAAATAACTCAAAATAATGGAACCAAGAATCGATACTAATGAACCAAATATAATGTTAGATATATAAGCATGACACATTTGTAAGCAACAACAACAACGAGAATGAATCAAATTATATTTAAAACCGAAACAAAAACAAAATTGGTGTTTGTAAGTAATGAATCAAATATATAGTAGTAGTAGATAATAAATTATACTCGTAGTTAAATACTATCTACTAAAACCACTATAATTGTTATAGTTGTGAATGTAACTCTTGTAGTAAACTCTAGTCCTAGACACTAAAATTAACGAATTAAAGCTTCAAAAAGATTAACATCAATCAAATTAATGAGAGAAATCTTATATTTTGGTTTGGTTTAGTTTGGTGTAAGTTGGTTTTGATTTGTTATTTTAAAAAATAAGAAATTATTTCATTTTTAGATTAGTTCGGTTTTATTCAGTTTTATGATTTCAGTTCGGTTTGGTTCGGTTTAATACGGGTTGGAGGAATACTACCAAACTCAAACCAAATTACAAATGGTTCGGTTTCGGTTTAGTTTAATTTGGTTTGGTACGGTTCGGTTCGGTCAAACCAAACCGTTATGCCCACCCCTAGGAATCAGCCTTCAACTTCATCTTCATCCTGCGCCTCTCCCTTCCCAGTACATCACTAAGTTATGGAGCTTTAGCTTCAGCACTTGAGCCATCCTCTTTACTTCCACCACCGCAGGAATTAGCAGAGGTAGGTAATGACGGGTAATGACACTGTTGGATAATGCTCCCCCGCTTTGTCAGTCATTAAGATATCTATAAGCCTAGAGATAAAAGCATTCACATCCTCTTGTTTGGATTGTCTAAGAAAACCGGTACAGATTGCTCATTGAACATGATAGAAAACTGGTATAATCCGATATAGAACAGCAGAAAATCTAAAGAAATCTAGCTAAGAACATATCAACAATCGTTTATTGAAGTAGGGAAAGATCAAAGAAGGTATACATTGCCACAGACAACTCGAGATGCCTACTCTCCAAGCCAAGTCTCAACCGAAATAACAGCCTGTCTTATTTACCTATCCACCTTCTATTTATAGCTTTCATCCACGCAGGGATGTCAACAGTTAGCTAACTAATTTGTTAACTAACTAACTACTCGCTTATTCCTCCTTTGATAGACACTTTTAAAATATTCAGTAGGTTGATCATCCGTGTGTCTATCAATACTCCCCCTGGAAATTCACCTTGTCCTCAAGGTGAAAATCTGGGAATTGCTCTTTCATCATCTGCATAGATTCTCAGGAGTCTTCAAAACTTGGTAGATTTTTCCAATGTATCAGAACTTCTACCTTTCCTTCTTGGTTTACCCTAACATCCATCACTTGCTCAGGTATGCCCTGCAGCTCCAACTCTTTATTTAGACATTTAGGTAGAGGTTGATAAGAGGTAGTAGGTGAGATCACTTTCTTAAGTAATATGACATGAAATACAGGATGTATTTTACTGTCTTCTTCTGGCAGTTTAAGCTTGAAAGCTACACACTGTCACCCCTTTTCCCATCTTTATCTCTTTTACGGAGTATCTTGATCCATTTACCAGCAATAGTAATATGAGATGGGTTGTCAAAACCTACAGTTCCCTCTTGAACAGATATACCAACCGCTGGCAGCCCCTAACATCTTCTCCAATGATAATGGCATCTGGGAAGAGACCAGGAATGAGATCATTGACAAGCATAAGATTCACGTCAGCATCAACTTCAGTAACATATCCAACATACTCCTTAAAGTTCCCAGTAAATCCTCCCCCCCAACCCATTTTGATTATACATCATGGAAGTGAAGCCATCAATTCTGAAGCTATCAAACTTGTTCAACCATTCCAAAGTAATGTGTGATGATTGACAGTACACAAAATCCATTATCACCCAATCCCGGTTCATGAATTTGGTGAGACCAGCCCTCTTTATCCTCGTCCATGTCCTTGTTGATCCATTCCAAGGTCCCATCTGTGTGCTGTGGACGATTACTTTCCTGATGAAGAAGAATGTCAACTTTGCTCTGTTCTAAAGGTGTTGGTGCAGCCGGCTTCAACTCAGTTTCCAATTCCGGAGAAACTTGCGCACGTTGATAAGTGGTGTAAGAATAGGTGAGCGACTGCGAACTGCTAACTTCTGACTGCGACACAGTCTGTGAACGGGAGAGCTCCGCTGGCGATGAAGCTAGCGCACTGTGAGACGCGGCTTGAGATGCCATCTGCGAACTGGTAGAAGTCTCTCGAGATGATGATCGGTGAGGAACGGGTAGAGAAGGCAAACTGGAACTGTGAGACGCGGCTAGAGACTGAGAAGAAACATGTGAACTCAGAGAAACGGTTTGCGGCGATGAGGACGGGTGACGAGCAGCTAGTGTCGATCACGTTGAGCCATGGCACCGTCTAAAAGTTCGCGATCGTCCCCTGGTTCTACAGCGATTTTGATTCATCGTCAGTTAACGCAGCTCAGCCATCATACTGTCCATCACTCCGCGCATATTACGCATCTCCTCCATCTTGCGCTCCATGTTGCGATCCATAGAATTCTATTGTATATTCAAGTATTCAACAATAGAATGCTTAGGCAATTCTCAAATTCCTCAAGGGATTACAATTCAACGTAAGAAATTAGCACAGATGAAAGAGAAAGATGCGATTGAGACACTTAGAGTAGTCTCAGCACTCCCAAGTCCCAGTCCCAACTAAATTTCTGCCTAACTTCTTATTTCTTCCCTCACTTCTATTTATACTACCCGTACAGTTACTACTATTATTATTATTAACTTCAGCCTATGTTCCTATCAAACTCAAACTTAAGTTCAGTGTTAGCCTAGCCCAATTCTCAATTCACAACCCTCAAGGATCATTCAATATTAAAAGAGGAGTCCATATCCTATTAGCAATACTAATTTCAGTTGGCAACAAGTAAAGTTCACTGCCCATATGCATAAAGTATAAATAAATAAATAAATAAATAAATAAATAAATAAATAAATAAATAAATAAATAAATAAATAAATAAATAAATCAATCAATCAATCAATCAATCAATCAATCAATCAATCAATCAATCAATAAATAAAAAAATAAATAAAACGTGAGAGAAAGGAATACAACAACAACAACAACGACAACAACAACATTACCTCAGTGCCGCAAGGGCTCCCACCAATGGTGGGGTAAGGGGGTTGGATGTACGCAGCCTTACCTACTAAAGCACAGAGAGACTGTTTCTAGTTGAGATAAAGGAATACATGATTTTAAAATATAAAGCATGTTAGAAAAGAAACAAAAAAAAACAAAAAAAAAAAACTTGTTAGGAGAAGATATAAAACAGAAGACGACGACAACAACAACAACCAAGCCTTAATCCCAAAGAAAATTAGATAGAACTATAAATGAAAAGATAGAAACAAAGAAAGAAGAAATAGCGCATACATTCATAGTAGGAAAAGAAAAATATAGAAAATAAGAAAGAGCGAAGATGAAAACAGAAAGAATTAACTCATAATGAGAAGGAGGAGGTTACATTTTACGTGTCCTGTGATTCGAAAGCAAGAGACAACTTCTTATTACTATAGTTTTAAGAAGGGTTTTATACTCAGCTGCTCAGGCGAGCGGTTTTGGCAAATCTATATGCTTAAGTTCTGCGAGGCATGAGCCTTTGCTTCGCGTGGTCACACCTTGGCTAAATTTGACAAAAAAACCATCCTGGTGTCTCAGGCCTTCTAAAACTAAGAATACCTCAACTCTAAAGTGTGTAAACATATATCTATACTATTATAGAATATAAGAATGTACATGGAATCTCTAATTTTATCTTTACTACTCTAACTACAAGGACCTAAAGAATTCCTGAGAATTCCTGAGAACTTTTGGAACTACGATGGTGGTTTAGGTGAGAAAACCTTCGAGGTTTTAGGTCAAGACAAAGAGGGCTGAGACACATAGCTAGGAAAGAGAATGAACACTATACTAATGCTACAAATGGATGATGAATACTTGAATTCAGTTATCCAGTTAAAAACTCGTAATTGTAACTATCTCAAAACATTTCAATCATGAAGCTTGTCTCCTTGAGCACTCGTGACTGATAAAAAAATGATCGACGATAAATCATCTCAACATATCCCCAATAATCTATAGTAATTCGATTTGATTGAAATATGTATGGATAACTAGGTCACAAATTGAGTGATAGCAGAATGTGGTGCGCTGACCTTTCAGAAAGTTGGTGACCTACTTGAAATCCAATGGCTTCGATCCGTCGGGCGGCGAGCTCGGGTTTATCGGCATAGAAACCATTGCAGTAGGAAGAAACAATCTCCGTCAGCAAACTCTCTACACAGCTCTCAGATACCTCCCTCCCCATATTTCAAATCTCTCTTTCTCGGTGGCTTCCAGCCTTGACCCGTTCTCTTAACTGATCCCCGCCCAAAGCCATAAATAAGGGAAAATTTTACAAATATTTCCTAAAATAGGACAACCGGCACTTGTAAGACCTCAATTAAGATGCAATCACAAAAATGATTTCAATTAAGACTTGGGAAAATTTTAGAAATAGTACTAATAATCGATAGTAGACTTCCAAAAATAGTACTTCCAAAACCCGTAGAACTTAAAGTGATGCAAACTGACAATAATGCCCTCAATTAAAACAAACCTGAAGAACAGCCTGACCGCATCACTAAACCTCGATCAATGTACTTCACCTTTTTCGTTTCCAAAAAAACTGTCTGCGACTACTCCCCCAAAGCTTCTTCGACATATTTTTTCCTTAGAAGTTGAAAACGATTTCAGACGATTTCAGAGCACTTCGAATAGGAGAAAACGCCACAGAGAAAGACGATAAAAATGGTGAAGAGAAAGAAGAAGTCGGAAGACAAAAATGAAGAAAACATAGAAAACGAGAATGAAGTTTCAGACGACGACTTTGAAACGAAGGAGAAGAAACTAACGAAGGAGAATAAAAATGAAGAAGTGAAACCAGAGGTTCTTCCATGTGGCAATGTAATGTCTACAATTACTTTTGTTTAATATTATGAAACTGTGAAATAATGACTACAGTAGAGAGATTGAAAATCCAATTCATTGTCATTGCAAAGTGTTTGAGTTGAAATTAGTATTAGAAGACATGCATTAGTGTTTGATTTGATAAAATCTCAGTAATTACGGTTTTGATATAGTAATCGTAGACGATAATTTCAATTTGGTTTCAATATAGTTCTCAAACACAGTAGGCAATTTGTTTGGTAGCTGACCTAGTTGTCACAGATTTTGCTTTCAATATAATTCTCAAACACAGTGATTTAAAATGGTGTATGGTCAAATATTGTTGATCAATTGAGCTTTATTTAATGAAACAAGTTAATAGGTTACCTATGTAAGGACATTATGTTTCTGAGATCATGTAGACAATAATTACATTTGATTTTGGTAATTGATGTAATGCTCACATATATTGCTTTTGATAAAGTGGTCATGGACGATGGTTTTTGGTCATATATTGTTTTATCAATTGAGCTTTATTAATGAACCAAGTTAAGTGGACAATATTTTAATTTGAGGTGGTCATAGACACTGATCTGAAATGATTTTTGGTCATATATTGTTTTATCAATTGAGCTTTATTAATGAACCAAGTTAAGTGGACAATATTTTCATTTGAGGTGGTCATAGACAGTGATCTGAAATGATTTTTGGTCATATATTGTTTTATCAATTGAGCTTTATTAATGAACCAACTTAAATGGACAATATTTTCATTTGAAGTGGTCCTCAGAGATTGTGGTTTTCATATATGGCTAATAGACAGTAATTTCAAAATGGGCATATATTATTGATCAAATTGGGCTTTACTAATAACACAGTAAATAACTTATGTATTATCTATGTAGTTTATAAGATAATGTTGACAATGTACAAGTAATGTTTGTGCATCTAGCAGGTAATAATAAGATCATGTGGCAGAGGATTGCTTGACAATAAAACAGATCTCAAAGTTAACTGTTCCTCCAATTTGTACAATGGAATCGAAAAAATAAATAAAATGCTAAGTGAGGAGCAATTGGTGGAATTCAGAAACACGGCATTTGGAAAAATGCTAGACATTGGAGATGTTCAGTGGATCACTGGTCAGCTGCTCATATTAATTGTCGAAAATCATGTCAAAAGGCTGAACAATAAAGCTTACAGAGACCACTTCATCTTCAACATTGGTGACAGATTGGTATGTTTCTATAAAAAAGAGCTTTCCCTAATAACAGGATTCAAGATGGGAGGTGAAAACCCCGTAATATCCATACAGTCTAAAGGTGATATCTGGAAAAGATTTTTCAACTCAAGGAATAACGTGTCAAGGGCAGACATTAAGAGGTCTTTTGAAGAGTTTGATAACATAATGGTAGAAAAGCAGCATTTGGATAGGGTAAAGTTAGCAATTCTGCATTTAATTGCTAATTTCTTTATTGGGCTTCAAAGCACTGTAAAATGCCCAGAAAAGTACATCAACATGGTTGACAACCTTGATCTGGTGAATCAATACCCATGGGGAGATGAAATATGGGAAGATCTGCTTGAAAAAGTTCCCAAGTGGACACAGAATATTAATAAGTCCAAAAATTTCAGATATGGATTTCCGGGCTTTGCTTTTGCTTTGCAAATATGAGCGTTTGAAAGTTTTCCTGCACTTAGGAGGGCAAATATGTGTACTATTGAAGACGAAATAAAGGGAATGTGCCCAAGAATTCTCAAATGGTCAGTACCTAAAAAATCTTGTGTCACAACACTTGCTGAGCACATATTTGACAACAAAGAGGTAATGTTTATAAATTAATCTGCTGCAACATATTTATATTAATTTATTGACTCCTTATTGTGTAATTTTTACTATAACAATTCTTTCATGCAGTTTGAATTTCAGAAAATGTGCCCAACTGAAGAGGAGCTTCAAAACCCAATTATAAAAGCAATGTATGCAGAAAAAATGCCTAAGCCCGTGATGAAAAAAAGCCGTCTGTCTTTGGCAGCAATTAGGAAAGAAAATGATGTGAAGGCCAATCAACTTGAAAATATAGAAGTTGGGAAGAGTGATGAAGAAAAACATGTACAGTTTGAAGAGGAAAACAATGAACCAAGTGAGCAAGGGAATGCAGACATCAACCACACAAAAGCTGAGCATGCAGGTCCAAGTGGAATCAGCAATTTAAATCGCATGTTCAAGAGAAGAAAGGGTGTTGGCAATGAACTGAGAGATAGCCACATACTGTGTAACTTAATGGCTGTTGTGGTGCTCCAATCAAAGAAGACACAAAAACTTGAAAACCGAATGGAAAAGCTTGAAGATGCAATGCAAAAGCTTCTGAATGGGCAAAGGGAACAAATTGATATCTTGAGATCTCTTCTTAGGAAAAATGATGAATATGAAGAAGATGACATCAAAAGAGGGGGGCTGGACTTGGACTTATATGATGGTCTTCACGCAGAGCTAGAAAGCGAAATGGAAAAGAAAAAGTTTCCTGAAAAAAAAGAAAATGATTCTTCCATTCGAATGTGTGAGACACCAAGTTTTGATCTCCATATTGATGACACACAGAAGGAGAGCAAAGAAACTGAAGGGGTGACAGAAAAGGGTGAAGAAGTTGAACCTGGTAATGATGATTCCAGTCAACCTCATAAAAAGATTGATAGTAATGATGCAGAACCGATATGTGCTCAAAATCAAGATGTTTTGATGAGTGAAGAAGTTGAGGTGACAACTCAAACAAGCATCAACAGTGAGGAGCTACAAATCCATGTGAATACTGTGATATCAGATGTCATTAAAGATCTGAAGCAAAGAGAGGAGATAATAGAAGAAGAGGTAATTTGTTTAGGGTACAAGGTCTTTTACTAATTCTTATTTTAATGTCTACTTAATGCCTGAATTTGGGAAATTATTAACTACATTTTTATGTAACTATTTTGAATGCAGGAAGAGCAGATGGTGATAGATAGACAGAATGATATTCTTACTGATCAGTTCAAAACAAAGGAGGTTCGCATACATGATGAACAGGTATGAATTTATCTATAGTAAGAAAAAGGGTATAGTCATTAACAAATACACACTAAAGCGAATGACTAAAAATTGTAATAATGATGTGCTATACTAGTTGCTTATACAAGTAGAAAAGAAAACAAGACTACATGAAGTGGAGGAAGATGAGCTGAAACGGCCAAAGAGAACTGTTAGAAGTCCAGAAAGATACACACCCAACCCAACAACTGAAATGAGGAAGAAAAAGATGGAAAAGGCAATGAAGAAAAGAGAGAAAGCAGATAGTGACACAAGTCCAGTAAGAGGACCGTTTGCGGAAGATCCAAAAAAGAAGCCTGATATGGAGGATGTGCACAAAGTGAAGATTTATTTAGAAGAGGGGCTACTAAAAAAGCACTCAAGTAATGTACAAAAGAAGTACAAAAAGAAGGAAGAAGAGATAGGCTCATGCCCATTCGGATTGCAGCTGGACAGCTTCATTATAAAATCAAAAACTTGGCTTTATGACCTCTTCACCAATGCCAATTGGTTGACTGACACAGTAAGTCTAATTTGTATACATATATATATAGTGTCTGAAAAATACTACAAAAATAAATCAAATCAATTTTATATTTTATGTATTTCAGCACATGAGAATAGCATTTTTCTACTTAGGCGTGAAGAGGAAGCAGTATAATTTGAAGCAAAAGTTTGCCACAGCAGATCCTTTATTCATTGAGATGGTAAAGTTGAAAGCTGGATTGATGGATAACGAAAAGACAACACTGACCGAGGCAGCATACAATGGAACAATAATGAATAACATATTGGGTACTAGCCAAGCAAATATGATGCCATGGGCAGATGCTGATTATGTATACATGCCGCTGAATACAGGGATGCATTGGGTTTTATTAGTTTTAGAAATCAATGCAAAACGTATCCGAGTTTACGACTCACTGAAGAGAAGAGGGGACACATTGTCTAGCATCAGGGCATATACGACATGCTTAGAGACTTTCTTGCCAAAGGTCATGGAGAGATTAGGAGTATATGACAAACGTCAAGAAGCAGCAGTTGGAAAAGGAAAATTAAAAATTGAGATGGTGCGAAATTGTCCACAACAGCAAGATGGGTATGGACAATGTATATAAATCTTTTATATAGCTATAAATATTGATAGAGTATATTCTAGAGAGAGGTGAGAACTAGAGAGAGAAGTGCAAGCAAATGCTTCAATAAATGATTTTCCAACCCCTACAACTACCTCCAGAGGAAGTATTTATAGGAAAAATACGGGCTGGGCTCCCAAGCCTTGGGCTTGGGAGGCCCATTTACAACTGGACCGCTATTGGGCCGAATACAAAGTGAATGATGGAGTATACAAAATGAGTAAGTGTAAAAATCCGGCTCTGGGAGTCCTTTGTGGCCGACGAGGGCCCGACCGACGAGTGCACGGCCGACGAAG